GCCTAATTTTCGTTTCTGTAAGATGGGAAGCTTTAACCTGCCATACTATCAAGACCTGCCCAACGCAAAAACTGGGCTAGCTCCAAAAAAGTTGCAGAGATGCAAAGACACAGATCCACAGATCCCGTCACCCAGGAGCTACCGTCACAGTCCATACACTCCGTGACATTCACGGTCCCCTTCTTCTCTTACCACGCCAGTTGTCTGATTTCTTCGCCATTGCTACATGACTATATTCAGCAATTAAATACTGGCTTAAATTCTTACAAACACAAACCAGCAGCATTTTCTGTTTTACGAATTTGTCCTCTGTGAATAAATGATACACAGATGAGAGTTCTGTTAGTCTATTGCATTTGAAATTGTAGCAAAAAAAATCTAGTTTATTGGAATATTATGTGAACATCCGGAAAAAAATCACTAGGTTGGAGGAAGTGCACCTCAGATCTAGTCCAGCCCTGCATCCCGCGTGCTGTGTGACCATGGATCAGTCATTAGGCTCTCTGGGCTGCATTTCTCATCCATCAAACAAAGGGATACCCAAGATGATCTATAAGGCCTTCCAATTCTAGAGTTTGATGAAAACCATTCTGGGAAAATTAGAATATTTTATGCACTCTTCTGCCCAAATTAATATGACATGAGGAGCCTGTATATAAAGACATAATTAGGACCCATTATAATACTTGCCATTTTCTTAGGTTATTAAATGCAAAGCAGCTGTGCTATGGGAACAGAAGAAACCCTTCTCCGTTGAGGAAGTAGAAGTTGCCCCACCAAAGGCGAAAGAAGTTCGCATTAAGGTAAGAAAGAGTCTTGGAGTACATGAGCCTAAAATGTTTTCTCACCTGTATTGAGTATATCAGTGTTTGAGGTTGAATTCTTAAATAAGGAGATGTTTCCGAAGTTTGGGATATTAACTCTCTCACTGGTTCTTGTATATTCTTAAGGATCTGGTCATGCTGGATGTGAAATTAATGAGTTCCTTCTCCATTAAAAAACCAACAGTGCTGATCTGCTCTATTAGAGCTTTCATTGGTTGAATTTTTATTGATGTAGTGTCTGATGAAAAATGGTTAACGATCATGACTACTGACTCCTTTTAAAATCTTCTGGGAGTCAGATTGTGTTGAGATTACTTTTCACAAAGATTGAGGAATTCATTTGTGTCTGGAGAAACTACAACTTCCTGGAGTGTTTCCCCCCAGTCCTTTGGACAGAGACTGGCCTGTACTTTGGATCCCAGTGGTTGAGCAGGCATTGGTGCCCGTCTTTCCTTGACCCTCTCCCCTTACCTGAGCACTGTGGTAAGACCTTGCTCAATTACCTTCTTGCATGCTATTTCCTCTACCCTTCGTTAAGAGAGTCCTAGGAGGACCAAACTGTAAAAATCTACTTTTGGGCAATCACATGGGAACATCTGCACCCTAGTTCCCTGACAAGAGGACCAATTGACCACAGAAAGTCACCAAGATTCAACGTAGGGAAAGAGGCAGCAATATTGCAAGTTTCTCAAACAGAAGGATCTCGTCTGATGGTTCATTTTAGGCTCAGAATCTTCTAAGAGTCACCCCTATTACATTTGGCAATCATAGCGAATACACAGCTATAATTTCTTCAAGACCAAGTTAACGATTCTGCCAACTGTAAAATGACCAGTTTGCTGGTCGGTGCAATGTTTTTGTCTTTGAACACAGATTTTGGCCACAGGAATCTGTCGCACAGATGACCACGTGATCAAAGGAGCAATGGTGTCTAAGTTTCCAGTAATTGTGGGACATGAAGCAACTGGGGTTGTGGAGAGCACTGGAGAAGGAGTCACTACGGTGAAACCAGGTAGATGATGTGAAGTCACAAGTCTGAAATAAGCAGGCTTTGATTCTTCTGTGTAAGGAAACAGCACATGCTGGGGATTACTACAGTGAGCCTTAACATAGTTCAGGGAGATAAAAGGATAAAAGGAGAATGGAGTGTACTGAGTGATGTTTAATTTGGCAAAATCTCAACCTTCAGCAAGCAAACCTCATGGTGTCTATAAACCTTAGACTACTTTAAAGAAATTTTGCATATAGCATGGTCTCGATTCACACTCATTTATTTCATATTTTAACATTAATGCACAGCACCTATAGCATCATGTTTTTCCTCTAGGCGACAAAGTCATCCCTCTCTTCCTGCCACAGTGTGGAGAATGCAATGCCTGCCACAACCCAGACGGCAACCTTTGCATCAGGAGCGAGTAGGTTTTGGTCATTTTTACTCTGATGTCATTCACATTGTTCCTGTGCTGATTTCAATTGAATTAACCAATATGTGTATTTGATATATCAAATAGTGTCACCGGCCGTGGAGTGCTAGCTGACGGCACCACCAGATTTACGTGCAAGGGCAAGCCCGTCTACCACTTCATGAACACGAGTACGTTTACCGAGTACACAGTGGTGGATGAATCTTCCGTTGCTAAGATTGATGACGCAGCTCCTCCTGAGAAAGTCTGTCTGATTGGCTGTGGATTTTCCACTGGATATGGCGCTGCTGTTAAAACTGCCAAGGTGAGAAACAGGGTAGGAGAGTTTCTCCCTTCCCTAAATTTTTAAAAACTGATTTTCTCGGAATCCTGAATATTTTTGGAAAAAAAAGTTTTGAAAACCTATCGCATATTCGGGTTATTTCTACAAGATGCCAAACCAGCTGGAGGAAAAATGAAAAGTTCAGGTTAGAAATTTTATTTCTAAATAAGTGGAAACAAAATTTTAGATTTTTATTTAGATTCATGTGAATTTTTGTTTCGTCCACCTATCCTTCATGTTTAATTTCTAACATTTAGGTTTGCGTCTAAGTTTAATCTTTTTTCTTTCACAAAATAAATACCAATGTTTGTATATTAGTTTGCTACAACAGCTATGGTGAAGTAGCACAGGCTGAGCAGCTTAAACAACGGATATTTATTGTGTCACAGTTCTGGAGACCAAGAGTTCAAAATCAAGACATCAGCAGGATTGGTTCCTTCTGAGAACTGTGAGGGAAGAATCTGATCTGTTTGGACTTCTCTCCTTGGATATAGATGGCTGTCTTTTCCCTGTGTCTCCTCACGTCGCCTTCCCTCTATGTGTGTTCTTGTGTGCACCTGTCCCCTTTCATTAGGACACTGGTCACATAAGATTAGGGCCCACTGTAATGTCCTCGTTTTATTAATAACTTGGCTACCTCTGTAAAGACCCATCCTTCAAATTAAGTCAGATTCTGAGGTACTGGGGGTAAAAACTTCAACATATGAATTTTGGAAGCAACACAATTCAATTCATAACAGATGATACATAATATAAAAATATGAATGAGGTGGTTTTTTTGTTGTTGTTCCTTTGTTTTTGTTTTTGAGACAGGACCTCACTCTGGCTCCTGGGCTAGAGTGCCGTGGCATCATCCTAGCCCACTGCAACCTCAAACTCCTGGGCTCAAGTGATCCTCCTGCCTCAGCCTCCCAAGTAGCTGGGACTACAGGCGTGCACCACTGCACCCAGCTAAGTGAATGAGTTTTAAAGAGTGAATATTTCAACTAAATTTTTTGATTACCCTTATGAAATCAAAGAAGCAATTAGAATATGTTAATTACTACTTGCTTCTAAATTTCCTTAACAAAATCTCAGACATAGAACATTCCTTGCCAGAGTCTCTTTGAACCATTCCATGAAGAATTTTCTGCCAACATAGAGGTGGAAGAAAAAGGGGGGACATTGGATCTAGTTGTACATTATTCTTTGTCATTTTTTAGTGTATTTGATGTATTGGCACCACATTAATACTTAGTCCACATACTACTAACCAAGATATTTGCCAGTTTTAGATATACTTTTTTCCCGGAAGCCATGTCTTAAGACAAATCATTTTGAATAAACATACATTTTTGTGTTTGCCTATGTAAAAATAGGCCAAATTTTCAATAGGGGAATACTTTGGGACCCCCCAGAACTCCCCTTACTTTTGATGATTTGGTAGAAAGACTCAGGAACTCACAAAAGTCGTTATACTCATGGTTATGGTTTATTAACGTAAAAGAATAGAGATTAAAATCAGCAAAGGAAAAAGACATACAGCGTAACGAGAGATCAGGCACAAGCTTCTGGTTGTCCTCTCCCAGCAGAGTTGCAAGGACAGTGCTTAATTCTGCCAACAATGATTTGGGACAACACATGCCAAGTGTTGTCAGCCAGGGAAGCTCATCCGAGCTTGGTATCCAGGGATTTTACTGGGAGTCAATCAAGTAGACATGAGCACCACACGACTGACCTCACCTACTCAGACCCCAGCCCCCCAGAAGGACAAGCTAAGGGCCCAAAGCTATAGGCATATGAAAATAGGCATTCGCTATAAATCACATGGTTGGTGTAAACTATCTGCCGTAGCCCAAGGCCTCAGTTATCCAAACACATTCTCATCAGACATGATATTTCAAGAACTCCAAAGTTATCCCCCAGGAGCTGGTTAAGGGCCAGTCCTGAAGACCTTTGTCTTCAAAGATGAAATATAGATTTTTATTAAGGAATATTAAGGGATCACAGCAATGAACTAAAACAATAGTAAAAAGTAGAACCTCACTATATTTTAAAATAATAAAATATTTTAAAATAACCTATAATTGACACTTTTATTTCGGATTATGGTTTTCTTCCAAATAATGATAATGATGTGGCCAACTCATTATACGTATTAATTTCCAGTTCCCATGCCTTAGACAGGACGATCAGGAAAGGGGGGAAATTTTTTCTTAGGGAGGGATGCATCGAAGTTAACAGAAACTGGTGCCATTATCTAGTTAAAGGCTCAGAGGTAGAGTGACAGGAGGGTCAAAAACTATCACTTTACAAACAGGCAACTAAGACGTAGGGAGGATTCTGCCGTGGTACAATTCCTTAGTTAGAAAGATCCCCGTTCAGGCTCACCATAGACTTTCTAGTGACGCAATAAAGAACGCTAACTGAGGTCTCCCAGAAGACAGATCCAGGATCATAAGCTTTCGTAACTACATCTAAAACCTGAAACTCAACCATCAACAAAAATTTCCACCTCAAATCCAGACAATAAAACTAGCAGATAAACTAGGAGAAAAGGCAGGTGAGTTTCTGGCCTAAGATGCTGAGCGTCAAGGAGTCCACCAGGAAAGCTTGTCAAATGCATGCATGAATGACTGAATGGTACTGCAGAGAAAGATTGTGTTGATTTCAAAGCTCCAAATGCAGGGACTGAACCGAGAGGTTAGGATGTCATTGCTGAAACAAAAACTCATGGAGAGTGGGTGTAAAAATCTCTGCAGGTCTCTGAAGATCTTCACTGAAAGGTACAGACGTGTCAAAACACACGCTTACATATGCACACACAGACTTTAGGAAATTCCCACAAGGGAAGACAGAGCCAGAAAAGAAGAGGTCCGAAAACAGGCCTTGCTCACCATCATCAGCCTCTGCATTAAAAAAGAAAGAAATTGTCACAATAAGGAAGGCCCCCTTTCCAGGGGTTTCCCTGTGTTCAGCTCTCCCTGCTACCGGATGTAAAGGTGGGTTTGGGTTCTTCTGACAGGAAAATAACTTTTGGCTAGAATCCTCTTTAACATAGAATAGTACAGAGCAAAAATCCCAAAACTGATTTAACTACCTTTCCTTCCTGAAGCTACGCGTGGATCATCTAATTGTCACACGGAGGTTGGACTTTCATGGAAAACAAATTTATTTACAAATGACTGAGAGTTGTGTTTATTTAGAAAATGTTGATCAGACCAAAGTTAAAACAGACTTAGCATATCTTTGTGGAGTAGAGATCACAGAGATCTTAGCACTTACTTAGTTCTGCTGTGAGGTTAGAGAAGGTTGTGGGTCATGGCCAAGAAGATGACAACAGTTCCCACAACAAAGGCCTGACTGGTGTGTTTACGAAGGAAGGGTTTTCATCTATCTAGCAAATACCACTTTTGCTTTGGCAAATACTCCTTTTCTCTTCTCAGGTCTTATACTGTTTCTAGTTGTCTTTGTGCATTATCATCAGAATGAATCATTCGGTCCTAGCTGACATCACGGTGATCTGAATTTCACGTTCATAGTACTAGAAGCACTTTGCAGGTTTCACTTTTGACCCTACTGCTTACATTTACAGGAACGTTTCTCTCCACAGGTTACACCTGGTTCTACTTGTGTTGTCTTTGGCCTGGGAGGAGTTGGCCTGTCTGTCATCATGGGCTGTAAGTCGGCTGGTGCCTCCAGGATCATTGGGATTGACCTCAACGAAGACAAATTCGAGAAAGCCATGGCTATAGGGGCCACTGAGTGCCTCAGCCCCAAGGACTCTACCAAGCCCATCAGTGAGGTGCTGTCGGCAATGACAGGCAACAATGTGGGCTACACCTTTGAAGTTATTGGGCGTCTCGAAACCATGGTAAGGGCTAGAATTTGGGGAGCCGCAACATACACAAGCTATTAGATATGCACAAGGTAAAATCCATTTCCGTAGCTTTACTAACAACCAACCATGGACATATCTGTTTCTCAGGCAAAAACTGGTAATCACATAGCAATTTTGCCTAGAGGTCAAAAACTTCAGAGCAAATCCTCCTGACCAAAGTTAAGTACCACATCATACCACTCTCAGATGACTAGAGAACAAGGTAGTCACTCTTCCAGGTACAGTTTTTTAAGTGATATCTTCCTTGTATATGTGGATTTCTTGGCACAGGTAATTCCATCTCTTGAACTTTAGCAAACGAAGCATCACAAGATGACTCCCTGAGGAGAGATAAGGAAGAGATCCCAAAGAAAAGGGATTGTTACAAATGTTGCAGTCTCTTCCCCAAATCCTTAATAGATCCAACTTCTTACTCTTTACAACTGAGCTTTCTTTTCGCTCCTCTGAATTCCTGTATTATATGAGCCTTCAACTTTCTAAACACGCCCTCTTCGTGGCAGCCAGCAGCACCAGACCCCAGCTTAGATCTGAGAAACCAGTGCAGAGATGTTGGAATAGAACGCCCTGGGCTGGGGTAGGGTAAGGAGACTAGGAAAAATAGGACAAAGCCAATTTTGCTCGAGACTGAGTAGCAGATTGAATTCACTTTAATGCTTTTGTAATTTAGGAATAATTAATCATTAATTTACTATTAGTGCCACACCCCTTTCCTAGTGAATCACTAGGAATTATTCCATAGCAATAAATAGCATTCTAGGCTGTATGTTTATGGAGCCATGTGCAGTATTGGTTATATTAATTAGGGACTATTGATTACCAGACAATACTTGGATGAACATTGATCTCTGAAAAATGTCAACATCTGTTAATACAATCTACCAAGTATTCAAAAAATTATTGATAAATATTAGGTAGACTAATGACAGAAAATGTAGAGTTAGTCTCAGAAATGCTGCCAAGAAAATAAACTCCTTTATCCCACATTTTAGTATTTTATTTAATTTTCAAACTGAACTTTTTTGAAAAACCACTATGTTAATTGATTTGGTATACTTAATTCAATTGAGTTCGGTTCAAATGTCTTCCTAAGGCTTACCCGGTGTGGTGTCATCAGTATGAAAATATCATCAGATTTCTCTGTGTTTTATTGCATGGTACAGTGAAAATGCGACAAATACTGACCACATTAATTATTGCTTTCTGCCTTACAGGGAAAATGTATGTAGGAGTTTAATTAAGAACTAATGTTGCACTGAGGAGTTTTTAAAGCAAGAAAGCCAAAAGGCAGCCTAATTTAATTTTATGACTTGGAAACTGAGCTAACTTCAGGAACTGCTGTAGTACATGGGCCATTTCGAGCCCATGTGATACCAAAAGAAATATAAGAACCAAACAATCTCCTTCACTTTAAACTCAGGTCGATGCCCTGGCATCCTGCCACATGAACTATGGGACCAGTGTGGTGGTCGGCGCTCCTCCGTCAGCCAAGATGCTCACCTACGACCCGATGCTGCTTTTCACAGGACGCACATGGAAGGGATGTGTCTTTGGAGGTGAGGACAGCAGAGCCTCTGGCCTGGCATTGGTGGCTTTCACTCTGTCCCTTGGGAAGTGAGAGAAGCCTGTTGCCTCATCACATTTTCCTTAAAGGTCTTCGTTTCCAAGGATATGAAGAAGTGATCTAAAATGGAATGGGAACCACAATAATACAAAAGATAATTACCTACTCTTTACCTTGATCTAGGAATAATATTGGTGGGCACAATTTTAATATTAGCACCTGCAGCTCAAGGTCCCCAAATGCCTGAATAGGTGTTTGAACACTACTGGAGGCTCCAGTACTGTTTCCATTGGAATGATTTGTGTGACAGGAAGGTCTGATTTCATCCATTATTCTTAATAGACACAAGATGCAAATGAAAAATAGAATTCATTCATTTCCCAATAGCATCAGCAAAAATTCTGGATCCAAAACCAAAATAAACAAACAAAAAGGGATTGTCACATTTGATAGGAACAGTTCAGATCCGCACCGGAATGACTGGGATTACTGCTCATTGACCACTATTGCTTCAGTAAGGACAGAGCCAAAGTTACTGTCCCCAAGGCAGGTGACACAGTGAATCCTTTTATTTCTCTCCTTGGTGGGTCTCATTTTCTAGCATCTTCATCTAGAATTGTACTAGGAACTTTGGAGGCATTTCCAATATTGAGTCTGCCTTGTAAAACATAAGAAAATGGTAATCATTTAAGTATTTCTTGAGGGTATAACGAAGAAAAAAATGACTGTTCTTGAGTTGGAGATGTATATAATTTAGTGAAGAATGCAAAAACAAATAAAAAGGAAACAATATAAAAATAAATCTAGCTATAGATATTATAAAACAAATTCTGAGAGGAGTTATTTAGCATTTATATGCTAAAATTTTTACCTAAATATGTTCTTTTTATTTCTCAGTAACTATCTGAGGCAGCTACTTATGAATACTAAACCTGGGACTTGGAAATATTAAGTCCTTTGCCCCTAAAGTTCCCAAGTTGAGAGTTGGGCTTTGAAGTTGGTCCACAGGATGCCAAAGCTCATTCCCTTTCCTCAACAAAAGCAAGAGGATGGTTGGATGAGGAGTTTTTAAGAGAAGACTCCTCGGAGTAAGTAAGACTTGAACAAAACACTAAGAGATATAAGTGGAGTCTCCTCAGTTCAACTGTTGGTATGATGTGGGGACACTACAGATTAATCAGGGATATTAGGAGAAAAATTGAATGATTCAACAAGTATTCATTGAGTGTATACTAAGAACCAGACAGCATTCCGGGGGCTGGGAATGTAGCAGAGGCAAAACCTACCAAATCCCTGCTCTCAGGAAGTGTGAGAATCCTCTCATTTCAGAGTGGAGAGACGGACAGTAAAGAAGTCAATGCCAAGTACACCATGTGGTCACAAAGGAGAGAAATGGAGGAAGGGCAGCAGGTAGACTGGGGGGTCAGGGAGTGTGGAGGGAAATGCTACTTTATAACCTTCAGAGAAGGCCTCTCTGAGAAGGCAACATTTAAGCAACAACATAAGGGAATGGAGCTATTCAGAAACCTTGGGAAAGAATATCCAGGGAGAGGGCATAGCAAATGCAAGGGGGTGTTGGCGAGGGAGGGCAGTGAGAAGGCCAGCGTGGTCACAGCAGAGTGAAGACAGAGGAACAGCAGGAGCTGGGGTCAGAGGGCAAGATCACCACGGCCTTTGGGCCATTGTAGGACTTGAGGATTTTACGGTGAGTGAGAAAGGAAGCCACAGAGGCTTTTGAGGGAGGCGGGACTAATCTCACTTCCATTTTAACACCCCCCTCTGGCTGTTCTGTGGGGAACATTTTACGTGGGGCCAAAGGGCACAGGCAGGGTGCCCATGGAAGAAGTTCCTACCTATAGTGCAGGAAGGAGGGGATGGCGGCTTGGAGAAGCCATGGTGCCGGTGAGAAGTGGTCGCTTCCTGGATGTGTTCTGAGGATAGAGCCGACAGAATAGGCTGAAACAGTCATGGGATGACAGGAAGAGTAGAATCCAAGATGATGGGCCCAGGCAACAGGGACAATGGAGCCATCATTTATCGAGACAGAAGACTGTTGGAGGAACAGGTTGGGGTGAGGTGGTGGAAATCTGGAGTGGTTTGGGGACGGTTGTGCTTGAATGCCAGTCAGACATCTGAGCAGAGCTGTGAGGTAGGCGATGGATATATGAGGGTGTAGTTCACGTGGAGGTCTAGGATGGAGATAGAGACCTAAGTGTGTTAAGTCTCGAGGCCAGAGATCACTCTGGAAGTAAACGTGGGGAAAGAGGAGAAAGGTCCAAGGACCAAGCCCTGGGGCACATGAGAGGTCTGGGAGATGTGGAGAACCCACAAGGATGTCTGCAAGGAGGAACTAGAGAGGAAGCAGAACAACAATGATGATGTAGAAGCCACGAGAACAGACGGAGAAAAAGGGAGCCACCAACTGTATCACATCCTCCTAATAGTTCATGTAGGACCAGTGTGAGAATTGCCCATTGTGTCAACATTGAGGTTGAGGACGACCTTGACTTGACCTGTGCAGCAGAGAGGTTGGGGCAAGATCCTAATTGGAGTGGCCTCAAGGGACAATGAGAGGAAGGGAACCAGAAGCAGAAACAGTGAGTTGGGGACAATTTCTTTCTCTAAAATAAAGCAGCTTTTCTGCAATAAGAGCAGAGGTGTGAGGCTGCTGGAAAAGGGAGTTGGGTTGGGGGGTTCAGGGGGGGTTTTTTTTTTTTTACCCCTGGGTCATTGTTTCTTAAGACGAGAGAAATACAGTTTATTTGTGTGCTCCTGGGAATAATCCGATATGGGGAAAGGTAATAATGCAGGAGAGAAACAGACAAATAAAAGATAATAAAATGTGAGGATTAGCTAGTGAAGTCTAAAGAGAAACTGTGTGCTTATTTACAGGTTGGAAAAGCAGAGATGATGTCCCAAAACTCGTGACTGATTTTCTGGCAAAGAAATTTGACCTGGACCAGTTGATAACCCACGTGTTACCTTTTAAAAAAATCAATGAAGGGTTTGAACTGCTCTATTCAGGGCAAAGGTATGTTTTTTTTATGGTGATCTTGTTTATTCTCTACAAGCTTAAAATTTGGGACTCACAAATGTGCCTATTGCCTTTATATTCTTTCTGTTTTAATCTAGCCAGATGTATATAGCTGATTACTTCTTTGTAGACTTCATAACCAATTTTTCAAAATCCTCTGGGCTTGGTGTGTTTTTGGACATCAGATTTATTTCATCTTGGCTATTTTAATTTTGTCATAAATCTACTAGCTTTTTCAATAATGCTATAAAATTTCCTTATTTTATGGTCTTCAAAGGTCTTCTTCAAATGTGCATTCTTCAGATTCTTGTAGGTCTGGTATTGTTTTTGCCATTTTTAGAGGAAGACACTAAAGTAGTGAGAGGCAAATAACTAACTTGTCCAGCCTCCTAGAGGCAGCACCAGGATCCAGACTCCATGCAAAGCCTGTCTCCACTTAGCATGTGCCAGACCTCCCTGACAGAGCTTGGCCAGCTCCAGGTAAACACGGGTCTTGCAGTAACTGCTCTTATTGCCCCGGGGGTTGGGCAATGGTAGAGGTGGAGTATGAAGAATTCTCTCAGATCCCAAGCACAACATTGGCTTCCTGGAGATTTGGAACAGCAATCACAGAGCCTGTCTATAAGATGAAGTGGATTTCATTCACTGGCTCTACACATATTCACTGAGCGTCCACCATGCACCAAGGATTTGGTTTCATCAGTAAAAGAAATTGCAGCGTGACCTGAGATCCACGTTCTCACTGATGTTTCACCCGTGTGCTTGGTCAGGGCACTTAGGGGTCTCGTCTCTACAGCTGGTGTGGCCTACGGGATCATCGTATCATGAACATACATCTAAATTATTTTTAAGCAACTAAACAGTAGGTTTCTGCAGAAGAACTGTTGGAACCACCCACTTTACTCAGATAAGCAAAATTAATGGCTTAGTGTGGCCTGCTTGAAAATAATTACTAGTTGTTTTCCAAAGAAACATAAATTCTGCTCTCAGGAGTTTTGCCTCAAGTATCACCTTGGCGCAGTGACTTCCAACCTGATGGTTATAAACGTAAATTCTTCCATTTGTATTTCCTTCCTGCACGGCTCTATCTGAATGTCCCACTTTCCTCAACTGTACTCAGCATAATTCCTCCACCAGCACATTTTGTCTCAGCGAATAATGTCACCGACTCCACTTTTGCAGACGAGGAGCCGCACTATTGCGTCTTTGTTTTTCCCGCTTGCCCACCACGTGCAGACCGAGGCTGAGCCCCGAGGATGCGAGCTCTAGTTTCTCCTCCAGCGTCCCTCCCTCTGCTCAGCCAGGGTCGCTGCTTCTGTTCAGCCCAATCATCTCAGACCCGCATTCACAGCCGCGTGGTAACAGGTTTCCTGCCTTCTTTTCCGTCCTGGCCAGTCCTTCGCCAAGCTGCCAGGCTCAAGTTACCCCAGAATGGCAAGGCCTTAGCATGGCTCTGAGAGCCTTTGTTGTTGTATTGTTGAACCCAAACCTACTTTCATTTATTAATTTGTCTAGTAACTTAATAAGTACGCATTTAGCTTCTATCCTATCACCCTTTGCACTGGGCTCTGGGGACAAAGCCAAGCGAGTAGGTCTCATACACCTGTGGAGTCTCTCAGGCACCCAGGATTCTAAGCACACTGGATCCCCTACCCACTCCAATACACACCTTCCTAGGCTTACTCATGCTTTCCCTTCCACCTGAGCACCCTCTCCTCTTGTCGGCCTATTGCAGCTACACTCTTGCTTCCAGAATCAGCTCAGACACCCTCATCAGAGATGGACCAAAAAAAATAGCAGCACAATTCACAGTTGCAAAGATGTGGAAACAGCCCAAGTGCCCATCAATGCATGAGTGGATTAATAAAATGTGGTATATGTATAGTGTGGACTTCTACTCAGCAACAAAAAACCATGGTGATCTAGCACCTCTTGTATTATCTTTGACAGAGCTGGAACCCATTCTACTAAGTATCACAGAATGGAAAAACAAGCACCACATGTACTCACCATCAAATTGGTATTAACTGATCAACACTTATGGGCACATATAGTAGTAACATTCCTCGGGTGTCGGGCAGGTGGCAGGGGGTAGGAAGGGATGGGTGTATTCACACCTAATGGGTACAGTGCACACCATCTGGGGGATGGACACGCTTCAAGCCCTGACTCGGATAGGACAAAGGCAATATATGTAACCTAAACATTTGTATCTTCATAATATGCTGAAATAAAAAAAAAAAGAAAATTAATTGGTGAGGACGTCAAGCCCAAAGGATTTCCACTCGCAGAATTTACCAAAGTTTCTGTAATAGATAGAAAGGACAATTATTTAAATTATTCCTGTTTGAAAGATGGGAAAACAAATCGTGAACAGTCCTCCTTTTACATTTCAGCATTCGTACTGTCCTGACGTTCTGAGGTCCTCAGTGGCAGGAGGGCTGTGTCGTGCGCTGGTGACCTGAAGCCTCCTTCTCTACAGTTCCCTCCTCTGAGGTCATGGATCCGTCTCACAGATACAAGCAGAAGTGGAATATTTGGTGAAGATATAGAAGCTTTATGAAGGTTTATGCACCTTTCTAAACATTTAGAGTCTTATGAACACCTGGGAATTAGCAGGGAGCTTAACAGCAATATTTTAAAATTCAATTTACATTTTACAAGGCTGTAATTATATATTTCAAAACACATATACTTGGATTTCTATGTTGGAATAAAGATGTCTTTAGCTCCTACTAGTTAAAATTGATACAGCATATAAAGATATGTTAATTGTATTTCCTAAATATATTCATTTAATCCTTTGTAACTATTTTTTATTGGAAGGTGATTGTTAAAAAAACACTTGTTATAAATTAACTTGGTTAGATTTTGAAATCAGCTCATTACATCATACATTGCTTAATTGGATTAAGAAAGAAAGAGGGTTATTTAAAGGAAAGGCATTTTTTCAATAATTAATGCTAACAATCATCATTATATAACATGATGAAATTGAAAAAGTATATTTTTAGGGTGCATGAGGCTATTCGTGAGAAAAGATTGACATTTCAGAAAATATGCCTTTTTCGTCATACTAATTAATATAAAAGTGCAGCTAGACTCACATTGTAGTATTTACGATAATGCTCAGTTTGATGAAGTAGAATTACAAGTCCTTAAGTCCCTATTTAGTATTTGGCAATGATTCCATTTAATAAAAAGTGCTTTCAGTTTGGTACCACTGCACTGGCATATCTATGTATCTCTATAACCTGTTAAAATTCTTAATAAAACTAAACACTTTACAAAATGTTTCGTGGTGATACACTTTTTTTGAAAAGAGTAGTTTTATTTTTATCTTTTCTTGATTATGGATAAAGTGTTGAAGTACCTAAAAAACACATAAAATACCTCATGAGAAAAATAAGAGGTTGGGTGGTTGGAACAGAAATCGGGGATTTCAATATAAGAACATGGTGTAGATTGGACAGTCCCGCCTGGGCAGACTGCAAAGTGTCCAGGTAATTATGAGCCACTTTTACATAATGAGTATGTCCCAATGCAAAGTGGCTTGAACCTAAGGGGTATAATGACAGTGATCTAGCACCTCTTATATTTTCCTGGATTAAACTTAGGCCCATTATCCAAAGTGAGGCACCACGAGATCAGAAGAATGGGCTCCACTTGTACTCGCCATCAAATTGGTACTAACTGATCAACACTAGGGTGATCACATGGCAGTAATACTCTCCAAGTCCATGTAGAGTGCACCATATGATGACAAATGCAAAGGAGATAAATAGAGGAAGGACAGTAGGTGGTCTGGGAGGACAGAGGCGGGGAGGAGATTGCTATTTTATAAAGCAGTGTGATCTGCAGGAAGTTTGTGTCGTGGGCTGGTGACCTGGAGGCTCACTTTCTACAGTTCTCTCCTCTGAGATTATGGACCTTTCTCACAAACACAATCAGAAGCAGAATATTTGGTGAAGATGTAGAACTTTTATGAAGGTTTATGTACCTCCATAAACATTTAGCGTTTTATGAGCACTTGGGAGACAGCAGGAGGCCTAATAGTAATGGCTTTAATTATATATTTCAAAACATACATGCTTGGATTTCTATGTTGGAATAGAGATGTTTTTAAGAGTTTTAACTAGCTCCTAACACTTAAAACAGATACGGCATATAAAATATGTTGTATTTCCTAAAGTATATTCATTGAACGCATTGTAACTATTGTTTTTATTTGAATGGAATTTTTTTGGAACACTTGTTATAAATTAACATGGACTATGTTCTGAAATCAGCTCATTGTATCGTACATTGCTTGATTAGATTAAGAAAGAAATAGGGTTATTTAGAGGAAAGGGCATATTTTTCAATGATTAACTCTAAGAATCATCATTATATAACTTGGTAAAACTGAAAAAAGTACATTATTAGGGTGCATGAGGCTATTTCCCAGAATATATAAATATTTCAGAAAATTTATGTTTTTATAATACTACTTAAATACAAAAGTGCAGCTAGAATCGCATTGTAATATTTACCACAATATTCAGTTTGATAAAGTAGAATTACAAGTTCCTAAGTCCATGTTTAGTATTTGGTAATGATTCCCATTTAATAAGAAGTGCTTTTGGTTTGGGACGACTGCATTGGCATATCTGTATATACCCATAAGACATTAAAATTCTTAATAAAACTAAACACTTTACAAAATGTTTTGTAGTGATAAATTTTAATTGAAAAGAACGATTTTATTTTGATCTTTTCTTGATTATGGAAAAGTGTTGAAGTACCTAAAAAATATGTAAAATACTTAATGAGAAAAATAAGAGGTTGAGTGAGTGGAGCAGAAATCAGGGATTTCAATATAAGAATATGGTGTAGATTGGACAGTTCCCACCTGGGTAGATTGCGAAATATCTGGGTAATTATGAGCCACTTTTACGTGATGAGTATACCCCAATGCAAAGCGGCTTGAACCTAAGGGGTATAAGTTCTCCTTTCTGTTACAAGTTTGTCGATCTAGGCTTAATAATTTTGGTTTAAAGAAAGCAGCTGAAATACCTGAAGAGTATAAAGAATTCCTTTGTGAAGTATCTTCATCATCAGCTAGGTTTAACTATGGCAGGTCTCAGAGCATTCCATAGTCTATAAGAATGAATATAAATACACACACATATATGTATTAATATATATACAAAATCTTCACCTAAGAATTATTGTAGACATTTCTCCCATCCATTAGCAATAAGAAATAAGACAATGGAAGATGAGTCTCCTTATTCTTAAGGAAAAGGGAGGAATGAGAAAGCGTTCCGGCTCTGACAGAAAGGGCAGGACACAGGTAGGGCTTGAGGCCTGGGCATCAAGTGCACCTGTGCTGGCACCGTGCCTGCCCTTGGCAGCGGCTGGTCTGTTCCTCGCACTCCCACGTGAATAAGCATCAACTGGCACCCAAGCAGGGCTGGTCCACATGAACAGGGCATCCCCTCCATCCTACATACCCTGTCCATGCTGGGACTGTGAGGTATCCTGCTCTGAGGTGCGAGGTGAGAGAATGTGGTAGAAGGAAGTTGATATTGCTTCCTCATTTGCTCTCCAAAAGCCTCTTTATATTTCAAAGAACAGAAAAAGAGAGGACTTATTTGGCATTCCCATGGATAAGCTTGGAGGACTGAATAGACCACCCAAGTCCATTCCAAAGCCATTCAACAATATGCGAGGACACGCATTAGATGGTTATCACAGGAATCAGGGCAAGAGTTGAAGGAAGGAACCAGCGCCATGTGCTGGCAGGGGAGAGGAAGAGGGAACTGATTGTTCCATATTAGGTAAAACCAGGAGGCCCTGATGATTCATTAGATGTAGAGACTGATGGGGAGCAAGGAACACAGCACAGTACCCAGGCTCTAGTTGGGGTGAGCAGGTGGATGGTGAGATCAGAAACTGGAGATCCCAGGAGGTAGACCCACCTTGAGGGGGAAATGAAGGGGTTTAGTTTTGCTCGTGTTAGTTTGAGCTACCCATGACATCCAGGTGGTTATTATCAGTAGCTGAAGAGTTAACTCATGCATGGGATCCAAACACTAAGCTATTCTTGGGCAAAGTATTGGGCTTGGACGGTGATATTTCCATCATATGAATTTCAAAAAGGATAAAAACGTTCTCAGTTAAAGGGTAGAGATACCTTATATTAATATTGGAGGTCTCCTAGGTGGGGTGGAGGAGACATCAGGGAATGATTAGGTGTTTTCCCTTTTAGGGACTCTTGCCATTCCTACAAACACTGCCTACTGCACTACTGACGCCTAAGGAGCACACCCAGCATCCTGTATGAAACTCCTCAGTCTCATAGCTATGGACTAACCGAGCCTCGGATGTGGAGATCCAGTGTTGAGAAGCAGCCCAGTTTCTTCATTTTACCCTTCCTACAATTAGAGAAATAATTCAGATAACATGAATTATTTCTCGTGGTTTAACCACGTAATAAAGCAACTTGAGGGAAGAGATGAGACTGAGTATTTTTCAAACAAGACAAACCTCAGAATGTGGAGAAATTGGCTTGGGAAAGCCAATTGGCTTGGAAAAGGACTGATGTTATAATGATAACATTTTCAAATTTCACAGGGACAGCAGTCCAAATTAGGATTCGAATTCTGCCATGTCAAGCATCCTATACGCAGATGGGGGTAAAATAGGGCCTCCCGACAGTGCTAGGGCTGAGGTCCTAGAAGCCAGTCCTCTCTTTTTTTTTCTGCAGGATGGAGTCCTTGACCAAGCTGACTCACCTGAGTGCTTCCCAGAACATTCAGTGGCTTCCTGGGGAGACAATTTCTGATTCCAATTTGCCAGCTAATGTGCTAGATGAGTCCACTATTTTTAAGCAATGAATCGAAAGTGCTTTAGCACCTCCAATTCCTATGGAAACACTTCTCAGTTTTCTTTTCAGAAGGTAAGAAAAACCAAGTTCGTGATGACTTCAGGAACCCTCATTCTAATTAGAGCCTGTGGGAGAGCTCTATGGGACCTCAGGGACACGTGCTAGGAGTTTCAGTTAGTGGCGGAGCTGGGATCTGACGCAGAACTCCTGAATCAGGCCACCAAGTCACGCTTTTGACTGAAGTTGTAATTCACAATCAGGGAATAATATTTGCACTGCATTTATTTTTTGACAGGAAGGTTTGTTTTACACAAGGCCTTCCTGAATAAATGGTACTACATTTGATGCATGTCAGGAAGTTATTTAAGTACGTGGTTCTTTGCCAAAACTTGCTTTAAAAATTATTCTAGTGAAGTTAAAACACCACATCTATGTTTTAAAACTGTTTAATTGCTAATTCAAGTAAACATTGTTTTTAATTAAGATGTTGACTTGAAGCTGAAGTGAGAGTCTTGTTCACTCACAGCAGAGAAAAATGAATCTAAATTTAAAGTTTAGTATTTGACTATCTTGAAAGAGCGGTTGCCAAGAGCATGCCTTGCTACTTCGTTCAATCTTTTGGCTAACGTTGTGGTGTGTTTACTGGGTGGGACAGTGGACATAGCCAGAAAAGTATATAATATATATTTGTATATAACTCTTGATATCTTTATTTGCAGGTTTTTCAAAATTTGAGGCAAGAG